AGAATATTGAATATGCAATGGGCTGCCAAAAGAACCAATAGATTCGTTTTGGAAGAAGTGCAGCCAGAGTGCTCCTTAGAGGCCAAGATGGCCAAACTTCGAATCTCATACTTTGGACATATTGTCAGGAGGGACCCGTTGCTGGAGACATAACATGTTTGGTAAGGTGGACAGTTAGAGAATAAGAGGAAGACCCCCAACGAGATGGACTGGCCAAGTGGCAGCATCGATGGACTCAAAAAAGCATGGCAACAGTAGTGAGGTTGGCCCAGGATCGGGCAGTGTTTCGTTCTGCTGTGCATAAGGTCACTATGGGTTGGTACTGACTCGATGGCCCCTAACAACAAATACAACAATTAGGATGAGGACTCTACAGATTTTAAATCACAAAAGCCAGTGTTACTTTTTAAAGTAATTTTAATCAATAGTGCATTAAATGTTGTTGTATAGGAATTACATGATTCATAAAATCTACAGATATAAAAGGGTCCCCATATTTCAAACTTAATCCTTATGTGATACACCTGGTCTACCTTTGTCCCATGTCCCTCTACTCTACTTTGTTTAAAAGAACAGAATGAACAGATCAATGCAAATCTATTAGAGTCACCAAGAAGTCAAAGAAAATAATCTTTTTGCTGGCAGAAAAGAGATGAAGACCAATTAAGGATAATTATAAGGATATATGCAAGGAGCTCTGATAGCATAGTGATTGTGTTGGGCTGCTAACCACATGTCAGCAATTCAAAACTACTATCTGCTCTATGGGAGAAAAAGATGAGGCTTTCTACTCCCATAAAGATTTATAGCCTCAGAAATCCTATACAGGTTTGCTATGGGTCAGAACCGAATCCATGACATACCACCACCACCAACATAAGGATATATGTAGGATTTTTTTATTCTTAAAAATAAGTTTTACTTATCGTTCTTCAAATACTTTCTAAGAAACGAGGCAGATTTTTTTTTATCTAATTCAATCACAGGACATTTACACACAACCAACAAAATGACACAGAGCACACTGAATATGGGCAAATATATTTTATTGTTAAAAGAAACCATTAACAATTTCTTTCCTGAACATGTGTGTAAGTTTCCTGAACATGTGTGTATTTATTTATGGTTATTTTTAACCAATTCATTTGATATAAATCTAATCACTTTCATTATTTAAATTGTTTCTAATACATTCTTTTCATTTAAACACTTATTTCTGAGCCTTTTCCAAGCCAACATGGTGGTATAAATAACAGGTTTCGATTAATTTTCTTTTCAAAAATGTCTTATTAAAAGTAGAGATTCAGAAAGCAAGTATCTCAGAATTTCCTTCCCAAATTACCTAATGAAATGAGTAAAACCTTTTTTTTTTAAAGAAGAAAATGTATAATCAACAGATTAAACAAAAATAAATAAACAAGCTACTTGTTTTAAACCTGACTGCAAAGAAACTGCCAAACATTCTGATAAAATAGAAAGGTACAGCGAGGCGAGGCTCCAATCTCACAAACCACCAGGATCTCTATTGGTAGAAGTGGCAAATTCCTAACAATTTTCACTATTACACTCAAATTTAGATAGATGCACACACAGTGGTTATTCTGGGCCCCCCGTCCCTCCTTATTTTGACTAAAGAGTAATAAAACAGCTGAACACTCTGTCTGCCTTAAGGAAAGGCTCCAGGACAAACACTAAACTGGAGAAATAATCTGAAGCATTACTGGAACAAAAGATATCCAACAATTAGTTGAAAAGACATTCAACAAAAATTAAGAGAGAACAGCACCCCAGAGATTCTAAAAAAGACCTGAGCCTCTGCTGAGCTCTTACCAATGACCCTCCCTACAGCTTTACCATTACCAAAAAACAAACCCACTGACCACAGTACTCCGATTCACAGCAAGCAACCCTGGCGTTCAGAACAGAACTATCCGCATAATGTTTCCAGGGCTGAAAATCTTTATGAAAGGAGACTGCCAAATCTTTTCATTACCAGCTGAACACTTAACCACTGGGCCACAGGGCTCCTTATCATAGCCATGGGTTAAAGGAAAGTTGGTACACATAAAATTGAGATAAGAAAGGAAAACAGACATCCTCTTTTGACCAAAATGTAGTCATCAAGATTGAATTTACCCTCCTGGTGAGGTGCTATAGGATAAGCACTGGACTGCAAATCACAAGATCAGAAGTTCAAATCCGCCAGCTGCTCCTTGCAAACCCTTGAACAGACTCAATGGCACTTAACAGCAATAACACAACAAGAAATAAAGAATCAGACAGTACCTGAAGCAATGATTTAAGACACTGGACATCAAGCAACAAAGAATAGTAATATCTAGAAGAGACAGGAAACAAACGAAATGAGCTCTATGGAGGGGGCGGCAGGCAAAATCTGAGTAAAGAAAATGGAAGTTAGTCTAGAGAGAGCAAGTTATCTAGAATTATCAAGGAAGAGTATCAGAGAAAAAAGTACTGTATGCAGAAAGAACAGAAATCTATAGGTGAACGTCCTTGAGTATTCAGCAGAGTACCAATCAGCGTGTGTAGATGTGTGAGGAAACTGCTCACCATCAGACAATGTTCTCTTAAAGAGAACAGAAGCTGACAATGGAACAACATAGGGTTGGGAATAATGCCTAATGTCATCAGAAAGACAATTTATAAGGGCAATGGGTAAAGTATTCACAAAAAGTGTGCCTGCACGTTATTGATGTTAAGTACCACTGAGTCATTTCTGACTCACAGTGACTCTGTATAGAGATTCCAAAGAGTGGATGGTGGGTTTGAACCACAGATCTTGCTGCTAGCAGTTCAGTATTTATCCTACAGTGCCACACAAAGACTCCTGTGCCTCCATAGTAAAGAATAATTACCCCTTCTATAATTATTCTGTTTTATATTGTGCCTCCATTGTTGTTGTTGTTAAGTGCTACTGAGTCAATTTCAACACATAGCGACCCTATATAGGGTTTCCGAGGAGTGGCTGATAACTTTGAACTGCCAACTTTGTGGTTCAAACTGACCTTAGGGTAAAGTAATTATCCTACAGCGCCACATAACACAGAATAATTATCCCTCAAGACTGCTCTGTACACATAACACATCTTAAAATCAAATTCAAACACACAATATTGGTTCTAGGTAATTTCACTGTATTCCAAAACAAAGTCTCTAAGAGTATTTACAGAATACAAAAACATCTAGTCCCCAACAAGAAATAATTCAAACATTTAATACAAAATTACTAGGTATGCAAAAATTATGACCTATAATGAGGATAAATATTGATCAAAAGTAGCTCAGAACTGACAAAGATGTTAACTATATAAGTTAAAAACATTAAGACAGTCTATTATAGCAGGAATTCATATACAGTAGCACCTGATTTACAACATATTCAAGTTACAAGGAACCACATTACATCCGTGTGTTTCTGGTCCATTTTATTGTTAGCAATATGCACTACTGGTATTATCACCAGTAATTTATACATCTTAGCGTTAGGAGTCCTGATGTAGCACTATAGGATAAGCACTGGACTGACAACCATGAATTGCTCCTAGGAAACCCTATACATGGTTCATTATGACTTGGAAGCAATTTGACGAAACTGTGGTTCAAAGAAGCCCTGAGGTCTACTACTTTATCCTACAACACTACAGCCATTAGATAAAGGCAAATTAAAACAAAGAGATAACATCTTACTACAGTATTAATAGCAAAGTTCAAAAAATACAGAAAACAACAAATGCTGGTGAGGGTATGGAGAAACTGGGACCCTCCTACACTGTTGGTGTGGTGGTAAAATGGAACAACCACTGTGGAAAATGGTATGGCGCTTTTTCAAACAGCTGGAAATAGAAATACCATATGACCCAGCAATGATATGATACCAAATACCATATGATACCAGCAATCCCACTATGTAGTGTGTGTATATATATATCCTCAAGAAATAAGAGCTGTAACACAAATAGATATATGCACTCCCATGTTCATTGAAATACTATTCACAATAACAAAAGATGGAGTCAACCTAATGACCACCAACAAAAGAATGGTTAAACAAGCTTTGGTCCATACACACCCAGAATACTACACAATGCAGAAGAATAAGGAAGAATCTGCAAAACACCTTACAACAAGGATGAACCTGGAGGACATTATGCTGATTGAAATTAGCCTATCACAAAAAGACAAATATTGCATAAGACCACTGTTGTAAGCAGTTAAGAAAGGGTTTTCTAGATAAAATAAACACTCTATGATGTTACCAGAGGTGGCAGAAACATTCATGGGCTGGAAGGCAGACATATGTCAACATTAGTGATGGGTCAAGCAATATACAACAAGAGGAAAATTAAAGGAAAGATGAAGGCAGCAAGAGAAACAGGAAAGAGTGTAAGAGTTAAAGGAAACAGAGGTAAATATTGTTAACTGGTGGTACCTGGAAGGGATTGCAATCTTTGTAATGAAGCAAAGTGTGTGATTTGTTGAATGTAAAACTGATGATCTGCTCTGTAAACCTCACTCAATTCACAATGAAAAGGTTTTTAAAAAAATACTCTCCCTTTCCTTAACTATTCTTTGGGAAATCTGTGAGCCTTCAAAACTAGTCTCAAAAATAAACCAATCCTTGAAAACTTCTCAATCAGGAACCAAATGGTTATAATTCTCATAATCCAGTTGTTGTTGTTGTTAGATGTCATTTAGTCAATTCTGACTCACAGTGTCCCTATGTTCAACAGAACAAACTACTGTCCAGTCCTATGCCATCCTCACAATATTGTTATGTTTGTGCCCATCATTGCAGATACTATGCCAATCTATCATATTAAGGTCTTCCTCTTTTTCACTGACCTTCTACTTTAAACAGCATGACATTCTTCTCCAGAAACTGGTCCCTCCTGATGACATATTCAAAGTAGGTGAGATGAAGTCTTGCTATTCGTCCTTATTAATATTCTGTCTATACTTTTTCCAAAATAGATTTGCCTAACAGTCCATGGTATATTCATTATTTTTCCTGAACACCATAATTCAAAGACAGCAGTTCTTCTCCAGCCTTCCTTATTCATTATCCAACTTTTCCATGCATAAGAGGCTATTACCATGGCCTAGGTCAAAGTCCTCAAAGTGATACCTTTGTTTTCTAATACTTTAAAGAGATCTTTTGCAGCGTACTTACCCAATGCAATATATCCTTTGGTTTCTTGACTATGGTGTTGACTGAAATCACTGACAACTTCAATCTATTCTATCATTTTGTGACTTACTGGTATAGTTGTGAGGACTTTTTTTATGGTGATTTTTAATCCATACTGAAAGGGGTAGTCTTTGATCTTCATCATTAGGCACACCATCTTCTCTTTCAGCAAGAGGTGGCACCGCATGAATGTCGCAAGTTGTCAAGGAGTCTTCCTCCGATCCTAAGTCTGTGTACTTCTTCATACAGCCCAGTTTCTCCGGTTATTTGCTCAGCATATAGAATGAATAAGTGCAGTGAAAGGATACAACCCTGATACACACATTTCCTGATTTAAACACACAAAGTATCCCCTTGTTCTGTTCAAATGACTTTCTACTAGAGTACATACAGGTTCTGCCTAAGCACACTTAACTATTCTAGAACTCCCATTATTGGCAATGTTATTCATAATTTGTTATGATCCACAGTCAAATGCCTTTGCATAGTCAATTAAAACACAAGTCTTTCTGCTATTCTTTGCTTTTAACGAAGATCCATTAAACATCAGCAGTGGTATCTTTCATTCCATGTGCTCTTCTGAATCCAACTTGAAATTCTGACAGTCCCCTGTGGATGTACTACAATATCCGATTTTGAATTATCTTCAGCAAAATTTTACTTGCATATGATATTAACAATAATGTCCACATTCTGTTAGATCATTTTTCTTTGGAACAGGCACGAATATGGGTCTCTTCCAGTTGGTTGGCCAGGTAGCTGTCTTCCAAAATTTTAGGTATCAGTGAACACTTCTAGCATTGCATTCATTTTTCTTGAAACATCTTAATTAGTACTGCGTCAATTCCTGGAGCCTTGTTTTTCACAATTGTCTTCAGTGCAGTGTGGACTTCTTCCCTCCATAGCATCAGTTCTTGATCATACTTTACCTCCTACAGTGGTTGAATGCAGACCAATTCTTTTTGGTACAGTGATTCTGTGTATTTTTTCCATCTTAATTTGATACTTCCTGCATCATTAAATATTCAGTCAGTTGTTGTTGTGAAGTGTCGTCAAGTCGGTTCCGACCCATAGCAACCCTGTATAGGGTTTCCAAGGAACAACTGGTGAGTTTGAACTACTGACCTGGTAGTTCAAACTGACTTTCAGTCCAGTGCATTAACCCACAGTGCCACATCAGGACTCCATGTAGTCAGTAGAATCTTTGAATACTGCAACTCAGGGCTTAAAATATTAGTTTTTCAGTTTAAGAAATACTGTGTACATTCTTCTCTTCTGGATTTCTAACACAAGGATTGCATATTTCAGTATAATATTTTACTTTGTCTTCTCAAGCCACCTTTTGAAATCTTCTGTTCAGCTCTTTTGCTTCATCATTTCTTCCATTCACATTTACTCTACCTTCAAGAGCAAGTTCCAAAGTCTCTTCTAACATTAATCTGGTCTTCTGTTTCTTTCCTGTCTCTTTAAAGAACTCATGCTTGCTTTTACAATGTTCTTGATGTCATCCCACAACTCATCTGGAGTTTGGTCATTAGTGTTCAATGTGTGAAATCCATTCTAGAAATGGTCTTCAAATTTAGATGAGATATACTCACGGTTGTATTTGGCTCTCATAGCCTTCTTTCAGTTTTCTACAACATCAACTTGAACTTGCATATGAGCAATTCATGGTCTGTTCTGCAGTCTGTTCCTGGAATTGTTCTGACTGATGATATCGAACTGATTCACAATCTCATTCCACAGATTTAGTAAATGTAACTCATATATTCCATCTAAGGAGCACTGGTAGTGCAGTGAATTACAAACTATGCTGCTAACTGCAATGTCAGCTGTTGGCATCTACCAGTCACCACGTAAGAGAAAGATGGGGCTCTCTGCTTCAGTAAGTACTCACAGCCTTGGAAACTCTATGAGTCAGAACAATTTGGTGGCACACAATGCCATCACCACATTCCACCTGGAGAGGTCCATATGTATTGTTGCTGTTTTTATGTTATTTAAATTTTTACTTCCAATGAACGGGTTGTTGGTCTTAGAAAAGTCTACCATGTGATTTCCAGCATCACTTGCTCTATCACTATGATCTATCATGTACATCATATTTTCCTTCCGTGTTTCAAACTTTT